GTTCTCCACCCGTCGTCCTTGTGCCCACAGGCGCCTTGTACACACAAGACATGGGATCAAAGTTGGAAGAATGAATGGAGAAGAAAATGAATTAATTGGCCACTTAGTGAATTCCCAGGCCATGAATTAGAGCCAAGAGAAGCAGGTTGCTCTTGGATACACCAATAAATCCCTGTGCTAATCTACCCTTCCAAACAGGCGCACAAAGCTAGTCTGAGAAACAGAAATCTGTGGGAACGTCAAAATTTGAACCAAATTGAATTACCTGTGCCGAGAACTGGTTCAGACTTGTCCAGGCCCCTGCCCACAACTCTCAGACACACTGTCCTTTCCAGCTCCTCGGGTATGTGAGAGGGACTGAGCTGACCCTGTTGGGTTATGTAAACATCTTAATTTGATGAGTGATTAGAGCAGCTTTGCCAGTGGCCAACTCAAGAGCCAAGCCTCCTTGGACTCAGATCCTAGCCGTGCTTCTGACCATCAGTGTGACCAAAGGGAAGTGATTTGCCTTCCTCTGCCTCAGTTTCCTGGTGTGCAAAATGGGGTTATTGTGAGGATTCCATGAGCTACTGTAGGTCAACTGTTTGGAACCCTGGCTGGCAGAGAGAGGGCAGTATATAAATGACTGCTTTTGTTGGTCCTCCTTTTTGCATATAGATGTAGCTTGACTGAGAGACAAACTGGAGCCCACCAAGATTGTCCCTTGCTCTCAGAACATCCTGGGTGTCATAGGAAAGACCCAAGGACTGTAGAGACATGAAGTCAAGCCAGGGGGGCACAGTCCTTTTCTTGTCTGGATAATAAGAGTCTTGGCTACATCTCTTGCCCATGCCCTGGCCTTCCTGTCACCCATCACAGCCCCTCAGGAAAGTCTGAGGAGCTAGTGGCACAGGCTGAGACATAGATGGAAGAGGAGTCGGGGCAGGAAGAAGGCCGTCTATCCTCCAATATGGACGGAGCTTGCAGAAAGCCCTGGAGGCTTTATGTGAAATGCCTTCTCAGCTTTATTCAGACTTCAACTTTCTCTCCTCCTTTTCTGAGCCGAGAACACTCATTTTGTGAAAAGAATAACAAAGATGCATATATGCCTATAAATGGAAGCTGGAGTGGTGACCGAGGCTGTCCTCCTGCCAAGGAAAACAAGTGCAAGGCACTGGAACAAGAGGAGCCAGGGGACCCCGTGGAATCAGAAGTTCTCCATCTCCCTGGGACCCAGCTCGGGCCTGTGCAGGCCTGGTCGTGTGGGAACAGCAACCCCCTGGTCCTGCAGAAAAGGTCTGCCAGGAACCTTGGGGCCACGGACCAGGAGTTGCTGGGAGCTGAATGCTGCAATTTGCCATGGGAAAGGAGAGAGACAATTGGAGGCTGGTGGCCCAGAGAAACCACTGTTTAATTCAACAGGCATAACCGATGATTGCTGGGGGCGAGGCCCAGCGCGGTGGGGCAGAAAAAGTGAGGCCATCGTGTTTGCCCTCCCCAAAGACCTAGAGGCACCAGGAGAGGGGTGTGTGAAGGAAAGGGTAAGACAGAGGCATGAGCGGCCCTTTCCAAACATTGACTCTGCTCTGAATGAGGAAGAACTAGGTTTCCCAGGAGGGAGCAGCACACTCAGCTAGGGAGAGTAGCCTTCAAGGTAAGTTTGAAAGGCAGGGCAGGATTTTGACCAATGGAGATGGGGTCATGGGAGGGCAGTCAGGGCAAAATGACCAATGTGACAAGGTATGAGGACAGGGAGATGAAAGTCACTTCCCAGGGGAGCAAGAGGTCCCATCTGACTAATTGAGCAAAAGTATAAGAAAAAAAAAATGTGTGAAGTAGCAACTTATTGGAGAATCCTAAAAGCTGAGCTGGGAAATCTGTGCCTGGTTCAGAAACCTGGGGAGCCCAAGAAGCCCCAAGGCCAGCACTGAGCTGAAGGAGAATTTACTGGTAACAAGTAGGGATAGATAGGAGAAGGAAAGAATGGAGGAGCCTGAGGATGATGAGCCCTTGGAAAGAAAACACCTAAGCCTTTTGTGACACTTCAAAAATAATCCGAGATTCCCTGCCACAGCTTACCTAGGAGGACCCCAGTCTGCCTCCCACATCCGCCTCGTCTTGAGCCACCTTCACGGTGGTCCACCAACGTTGGCCCTCTTCCTGGTTCGCTCACACACCAGGCTTTTCCATCTCCAAGCCTTACCTCATCTCCAAGAGAGCCACGATCAATCCCTTCCCTCCCTGTGCACACCAGCTCTTCCCCCTGGGAGAGGGCGACCCTAATGCTCCAGGTACGAGAACCTGAGCTGGCTGGTGTCCATCACTTTGACTCACGGGACACTGCAGAAGTGATACTAGACCAGTCTAGGTCCAGTCTTGGAAGACGACTGGTAGTTTCCCCCTTCCTGCTCCCTGGAGAAAGCCACCCTGACAGAAGTCCCACAATCTTGAGCTCCCCATGACACGAGGAAGACCACATGAGACATGTGAGAGGCCCAGTGAAGAGAGAACATCCATTAGCCAACTTCCACCTACTGCTCTCAACCCCACCCGAAGGCCAGATATGGTGAGTCAAGGACCTATCCTGAATATTCAGCCTGGCCAAGCCTTCAGATGGCCCAGCCCCACCTGCTCTCTGACTACAATTGCACCAGAGACCCCCCCCCCCAGGGAAAACTGACACCTAGCAGAGCCCCACCAATCCACAGAGCTGTGAGAAATGTTTTTGTCTTTCCTCTGAACTGTTCTCTCTGTCTCTCACCCTTGCGCTTCAGAGGAAAGACAAAACTCCCCACGGCTCCCTTATCTTTCTGTCCTCTTCTCTCCAGGCTCCATTCCCCAGCCCCACCCCGTAGCATCAACAAAGGATGCCCTGTAAACCGTGGGAGCAATTTCCCGCTCACGGTATAGCCCCTCCTCTATCTCGATGCAGCCATATCTGTTGCCCCACATCATGGAGGGAAACAGTTTCAAAAGAGGAATTCACAGGGCTCCTCAATCACCTGCCTGGGAATGGGTGGGAGCTGGAGGTGGGCCACTCCCAGAGGCCACAGGAGACTGACCTCTGGCCCTGGCCGCAGCAGTAGCTGCTATTGCAATATGCTTCTGCTGTGACCCGGTCCCAGGGAACATCTGCAGATCACTAGTTGTCTTGGAATAGGCCATGGGAAAGTCCAAGAGCAGCCACGGCTCTTGACAACCATCCCAGAATCCCACTGGAACTCTGTGCCAGAGTACATGGGGCCCTAAGGTCTTGGGTTCTATGCTATTTTATTCATTTTTAGTTTTTGGCTGGACATTGAGTTGGGAATTTAGAACACTAAAGCCATTCCAGGGCATTAGTTCCAAGCATGCCATGCAACTCCCAGCAGCTGATAGTTAGGGACCTGCGGTCAATACCAGTGCTTAGCACGGCAAATAATAAGCAGAGCCCCCAAGAGTCCAGGGAGGCAAGCACTGAGACCAAAGTCCAGATGCTCACCTCCAGGGCCTAAATCCTCCCACCAAGGCCAGGGAAGTGCACATTTCCATGAGGGCAGACCCCCACCTCTGAATCCCCAGCCATGAAGCAGCCCCAGCACACAGCAGAACCTCAATAAGCCTTGCTTGAAGAAAGGAAGAAGGGCCAGGCTATACAAAGAGAATCCCCACGTATACAGTGACCTCCCCCAGAGACAGCATCTCATCTCAGGTTGTGATATGAAGCCAAGGCTTAGCCAGCGGTAGCCTGTGGCCAAATCCGGTGTTTGTATATACAGTTCACGAGCTAAGAATCTTATTAACATTTTAAATGATTGGAAAAAAATGAAAATGAAAATAACATTTCTTAAGTCAACAATGAATTTCACATTGGTGTCCCTAAATAAAGGTTTTTGAGAACACAGCCACTCCCCCTCACATACTGCCACTGACTGTTCCAGAGTGTGCAAGGCAATGCAGAGCTGAGTGCTTGCGACGGAAACTGCCTGGCCTGCAAAGCTAGAAATATTTACTCTCTGGTCCTTTCCAGAAAAAAATTTGCTGACCCCCTAGCCTAGCCAGGTGAACGCTACCTGGATCTCCAACACCATTGTATTGGGTTCAGCATTGTTTTCTTGTTTGTTCGGTTTGGTATTTTGGGCTTTTTGTTTTTTGGTATTGGGGACAAAACTCAGGGGCACTCTACCACTGAACTACATCCCCAGCCCTTTTTATATTTTACTTTGAGATGGGGTCTGCCTAAGTTGCTAAGGCTGGCCTCAAACTTGCGAGCCTCCTACTTCAGCCTCCAGAGCCACTGGGATTGCAGTTGTGCACCACCACAGTCAGCTTAAGACTTTCTCTCTCTCTCTTCTTCTCCTCTCTTCCTTCCTCGTTCTTTTTAAATAGAACCCTTTCTAGAATGGTTTTAATTACCTTGATTAGTATAACTTATTTGTCAGACAGTCATTCTCCATGAAAGAAAGAATAAATCTGCTTGAAGACAAAGGGAAGAAGTTTTTAAAGGATTCAAAAATGGGAACCCCCCCAAAAAAATTTGGTCTATTTTATGATATTGCTAAAACTGTCAGGATATGAAAAGGGAAGCTTTTCTGAATTCACCTAAGGGCCAGGTCTCCTGACCCTGGAATGGCCACGCCCTCTGCCCAGACTTGCTTCCCCTATCTTGCCTCTTAGAGGTCCTCATTCATCCTGGGGCAGCTTCTTCAGAAGCCCTCCCAGAGCCATTCCTAGTGCACCAGGCACAGCTCTCTAGAGCAACGGAAATCACGGCATGACTTGTCCTAGGTTCAGACGTGGCAAGTGGCATGCATCCCCCTCCCCACAGCAGACAACACTCCCCAGACACAACAATCCGGCTGGTAAGTAAAACTACCACTCCTTGCCATCTGTCCCTGGTTCCATGCTTGCCTCTTGACAATGAACTTGCAAATACAAATTCTATCGTAGTCGATCTTGTCTCCCTGCAACGAACACAATGACTCTACCTTGTGGTAAGCATTCCACCAAAGCTAGACCTCTCCTCCTCTTCCTTTCCTCAGCCTGCTCTGCAGCTAGGAGGCACCGATGGAATCCAAGGCTCTTTCCTGTGAAGTGCTGCAAACTACCTCCCCCCAAACCTCTGTAATGGGAGCAAATCCTCTGTAGGTAAGAAGCTGAGCTTCCCAGAGTTTCCATCAGCTTGATGGCAACTTCCATCCAGGGTTTCTCTGTTACCCACAGTGTGTTGGCCCCTCTCCTAAGAGAGGCAGAAATACATCCCCCAACAGGGATAATTTTTCTGTTTGCTGTCACGAAGAAAAAACCAACACTGAGTACCCATAGCGCAAGTTTATTCGGCAATCAAAGGACTGAGAATTAGAGTCTAGGTCACAATTCAAGTCCTCTGCTTGTCAGGGATGGCGAAGTCATGGATACAGGGTGAAAGACGAAAGAGAAGGATAGGCCAGTAGAGGGGAAGAATACTCATGTCTATTCTTGGAATAAATAGAGACTTTTCAGGAATTAGGGTGCCCCCTCTTTTTGTTCCTTTTATGGTTCTTTCTGTCCGTAGTCAAGACATTTGTCAACTGTCATGACTCTTGCGGGGGGTGGGTGTTACTTAGCCTACAGGAACTATAACGGGGCTTGGGGTCTATCAGAGGTCATTTAGGTGACCATTTTGGATTTACTCAGTTCCACTGGTCGGTCGCAGAGGGCTCTCTGCCCATTAACATCCTTAGAGATAAGCAAAGCCAGGTCTGTTTCAGCTCGCTGAAGGAACTGCCTTAGTTGGCTTTTCCTCTTCTGATTGGATGGGAAGGTCCCAGTCCCATCTGGGTCCTCTTCCTTCACCTTGGGAACAGGCAGAAAGAGATGATCCCCTCTGTAGCCAACACAGACCCCTGATTCCTTTTGGAGCTGGAGGAAAGGAACTTTCCATACTCTTCTTAAATCAGAGGGAAAGAAGCCCTCCTCTTTCAACAGGTATTTCCAGCTGCTGGCAAGGGAATTAATTGCAAGACACCTAAATACAATAGCTGCCTCCCAGCTGCGGTCACCCCAGCAACCTGGAACTCTCACAGACTGCCTTGGAGACAGGGCCTTGGAGACAGGCTTCTGAAGCAGCCACATTCTTCAGCACTGACTCCTTTTGCAAAACAGAACCCTCCTAGACTTCAATTTAATGGGAAAACTTAAAATTGCCTTTCTAAAAAATAACAGAAACCCCACTGGGTGTTTTTAACCATGCCAACCCACAATGCATGAATATGGACAATTTTGAATTTAAAACTTACAAAATAATCATGGGCCAAGCAAGAATTGAGAATAGGAGATGATAGTCGAGCAGACCAAAATGGAGATGGCCAGGAAGGAGCATCAGGGATGGTGGTCCACAAACCTGAATCAGAACAGACTGACCTTAAAACATGTTCACATAAATACCCATTCCCAGGCCCTCTTCCCGGAGATGGTGTTGGTCTCTTCCAATCACTCTTCCAGTGATTCCGATGAGCCTTCAAATACTCATTGCCCTGTCTACATAATACTCTAAAGGTCTGCTGGGGCTTAGCTCCCTCAATTCCTGCCAGCCCACAATTCTAGAACCAGAGTACCAGGAGGTCTTTTTTTTTTTTTAAGGAAGAGGGTGAAGCTGCAGCCCCTAAGTGCATTTGTGCTTTTCTAGGAGCTGGACCAAAGGAACCCGGGGATTTGGAAGCCCATCTGGCCCTGGGCTGTTGGAAGGTTATGTCGTTCCTTTTGGGCTGGCTGCCTGGTTTCCGTTGGGGTTGATGCTGGGTTTATTTTAGGTGCTGGGTGTGCGAGCTGGTAGGCTGACCTTCCTTGGCCTTTCCCCAGGGAGCAGGCTACCAGGCTCCTGCTGTCTCTGTGTTACCAGGTAGCACAAGATCCTCCCTGAAGAAGAGGCGAGACCACATGCATTCTGCTCCAGAGATATTCAGAGTCAAATTGGTAGGAATATAGGTTTCATGCAAAGCCCGGCTTGAAGGAAGATGGAAGAAACTTATTGTTTCGAAATTCGCATCACCAAGATCCCTGAAAATTAGCAGAAGTTTTAAAGAAGAGGCAGGGAAGTGGCAAGGGGCAGGAGAAACACACGCGGAGATTTAGTTATCCCGTGTTGGATGGGGCAGGTTCTCTGCTCTGGCTCTCCTTGACTCTCCTCCTCCTTTGTCACCTTTTAGCATGGGGGAGTCACAGACCTTTGGTTTCCTCCTCTCAACATGAGGACATTCGTTCTTAACTCAAAAGGGGCCCCCAAATTCAGTCTGTCTCATCAGGAGCTACAAGGTACAATTTCCAGGGTATCTAGGTAATAGGAGCCGACTGGTAGTAATAGCTGGGACCTGTACTAACCCTGGGAGGAAGCCTGCTGGAAGAAGAGTTTCCCCACCGTGGGCCTTTGCAGGTGGTCCCAGCATGGCTACTCAGAAGCCATGTTTGGGGGACAAATGACTTACTTTCTCTGAGCCTTAGTTTTCTCAGCTATGGAACAAGGATTGAACCAGGTAGAAGCAGCCATAAAGTAATAGAAGAAATGTGGGTTCTGAGGCCAAAATATTTTGGTTCAAGTCTTGGCTTCACCACTGATTTGCTTTGTGATGTTGGACAAGCGACTGGGCCTCCTATGCATGAGTTTCCTCATCTATAAAAGGAAGCTAATGATATCTCCTTCATGAGACTGACGTGCCAATTAAAGGAGATGATGTGTGCTTGGCTTAAATGCCACTTAAGATCATACACACACACACACACACACACACACACACACACACACGCACACTCCTTAACTAGCAATCTGATGAAGTGGGTGCCAAACTCTAGCAGAGACAGTAGAAGAGAGTTCAAGGGAGGAAAGTGATTTCTGCACAGGGCAGGTAAGGAGGAAAGGAAAAATAACTTTCAAAAGGAAACAAGGTTTGAGTTGCAAATAATCAACTATGGAGAAAAAAACCTGAAGAATAGAAGAAAACTCAGGGAATCTGGATCAGAAAATTGGGGGTAATTTTGCCCTCTCTGCTCAGCTCTGTGGCCTTGCCGATTCTCTGCTGCATCTGTAAAATTAGCTTGTGGTAAGAATGAATAAGATGAGGAAATACCTTATATGGTGCCTAGAACATGGAAGGTGTTCAAGGGATGGAAGGGTGGGTGGGTGGATGGATGGATGGATGGTTGGATAGACAGATGGATGGACGGATGAATTCCTGATAGGGAAAGTAGGATGAATAAAAGAATGGAAAGAGAAATGCTCAAACCATCATTTTAGGTCAGTGAATACTTTAGAGTATTTCCAGGGAGTTCATGGAACTGTAGACTCCAAGAAATTCATGGGAGGAAATATGTGTTTTCTAGTCAATTAAATTTAGGAACGGGCAGTATGATGTAGACCTCTCTGAAAGATGTGCGATAAATGTCAACATATAAATGATCCTGCCAAGTCCAGTCTAGCTTTATCACACCTACTAGTTCCCAATTTAATACTCTTCTAGAAATCAATTTCCCACAATAAACCTGTTAACTTTGCTCTGAAGTTGACCGGGGTCCTCCTGGAGTGAACGAAGGGGTGAAAACATTGGAAAAATTGCTTGGGCCTTTCTTTGTGCCTGCCCTGTCCTCAGCCTCAGGAACTGATCTGCAGGGATGCGTGGGAGCTCTCAAGTGAGGCAGGCACACACATCTGGAACAGAGACCTGCAGTCCCCACCCCCACCCCAACACACACACACACACACACACACACACACACACACACACACACACTTCTAAGCCTTAGTAACTTAGGTAAGATCCTTAACCTTTGTCTCTACTTTCTCATCTATAAAAATCTTAGTACCTACCCCATAAGATCATTGTGAGAACCAAAGGAGCTCACATACCTGAAGAGGGTAGCCCTCCACCTGGAGCGCAGGACGCGCTCACTGAGGAGAAGATGGCATCGCTATTACTACACCATCATCTGAATATTTTCTGACAGTCACTCTGCAACATCCAGCATGACTTTTCCTTTGAGCCCTGAGGATAGGATTCATACCACTTTCCCCCTCCTTCTCCCTGTGGGGTGAGCCTAGAGCCACAAGAGAAGGGACCAAGGCACTGCGCAGAGGGCAGGGTTGGGGTCTGCTTTGCACTTTCTCTAAATGCAGAGCAAAGAAAGGGAGTTCTTCCAGAAAGAGTCCACCTTCTCTAAACCGGTCTGAGCTAGAAGTGTCAGCTCTCAGAGGCTGGCAGCTGGCCACCAGGAGGTGGAGAATCTGCGTGGTCATTTCACAACATCAAGAGCGAGTGGCTTGGAGAAGAAGCCACATATAATCCCTGGAGCTCAGCCAAGTGCCTCCTAAAGAGAAGAAAGTGGGGAGCAAAGAAACCCTAGTTTCAGGAACTGAATGGAGCCACAAGGCAGAGACAACTGGTCTCCAGTATCAGAGACCTGTGCTCTACTCAAATGTCACCACCCTATAAAGATGGCATAGCATTACCCAGCCATCAAACCCATGTCCCTAATTCTCCTCCCTCTCTGGGAAGTCTATGGTCAGATTCTCCTCCTTGATTCGTTATTCATTTAGTTAATATTTACTGCACATTGATAATACACCACAGTGAATATAATTGTCCTTAAAATGGGGAAAATATCTGCCCTTATGGGCAGATTTTATTGGAAAAAGACAAAAATGCACAAGTCGACAAGACCAAAGAGACTGTCGGGCAGTGGGAGGAGCTTTAAGGAGAAAGGAATCAGGGCGAGGGTGAGAGATGGATGGATTAGGAGCTGGGAGACAGTCAAGCCGTGTGAGCTACCACCTGAAAGGAGCAAGGGAAGGAGCCAGAAAAGATCTGGAAGGAGAGTGCCCCAAGTGGAAGGTCAGCAAGCACTGTGGCCCTGAGATGAGCCCAGCATGCGGACCAACCGCCAAAATGGCTGCAGCCTGTGGCAGGAAATGAGGTCAGAGTTCACAGGGCAGGAACCTCAGCAGCTGAGTCAAGGCTTTTGCCTTTATTCCACATGTGATTGGACGGTATTTGATGAACAAAAGGACAGAGAGCTTACTCTTACTACTGTGTGAAAAGTATAGCATAAAATGGCAAAAGTGGGCTTTTAATAAGAGAGGCAGCTGAGATGCACGGTGGCTTGCACTAAGTTGGTCAGGGAAGAAACGAGATTCGGGGAGCATTGGAAGGTGGAATAGCAAGACCTGATGGCCACAGGGATGCAGGCTGTGTTTGAAATTGAGGGAGAAAGAGAGACCTCTGGAGTAGCTATCTTGATCCTGAGATACAGCAGGTGGCACGGGGATCATTTCAGGGAGAGGAGACAACTCTAATGCTTTGGATGAGATGCCTACTGGACATCCAGGTTGAGATGTTCACCTGGCAGCTGGACATGTTTTGAGTCCATCATCAGTCAACACAGTGGTCATCAGCACCAATGTTCAAAGCCTGCTGGATCCCTGCTTCCAGGCTGGACTCAACACTCAACACAATGAGACTTTACTCAAATGCACTTAGTTCAAAATTGATTCTGTTTTGCAAGGGGAAACTGAAGCCCTGAGAGGCAAAATAATTTCTTCCCTCAACATTGAAGAGCAATTTACATACAGAACAAGATCCATGGCTTAGGCACTGACTACCCAGCTACCCAAGTCTGTATCCTCTATTGCTCTCAAAATTCTTTCACCTTGATTTCTTGGGTATTTGTGGTGCTGGGAATTGAACCCAGAGCCTTGTGCATGTGAGGCAAGCACTTTGCCAACTAAGCTATATCCCCAGCCCCGCATTTCTTGAGGTTGTTTGCATAGTATCTTTTTTTCTTTTTTTTTTTTTTAACCCTCCTCTACAGGAGAAGTTTTTTCTTTTTCTTTCTTTTTTTTTTTTTTAATCTTGCCTAAGTTTCTTCAGTTTAAGCTCATTTCTATTTTAATCATTCTTTTTGGCGTCAAAATGTGCACAGTACTATACTTGCCTCTTAGGACAATTATGTCAGGTAAATAAAGTAAAAATTCTGGTTGCCATTTATAGATGAGGAGCCTGAAGCATAAAGGTCAGATGAAGTATATTCAGTCCCATAGCTAGGTTGAGGCAGCCCAAATTAGAACCTAGGACACCCTGAGTCTTAGCCCAAGGCCCTACCCTGTGGGCCAGAGAACTCTTAATCCCACGTCTTACCAGTTTCTTCAGCAGCTGAGGACCTCTCCGCGTCTCTTCCTGTTTTGCCCTCAGGATAACTGAAGAGTGACTGGTCCCTCTGCCTTCTTCCAATACCCTCCTGACCCTTCAGAGTGATGACTAAATCACCTTTCAGTCTTCTCCAGTACAGCTGTGTCCTCACATGTACCTCCCAGGAGCATAATAAGTAATAACAATGATGGCCATGGCACCCCCGGCCTTGGCCAGAGAGGTTGAAATGTTGGTCCACCTGCGTGGAACCCATCACCAGTGATTTCCTCCCATCACTCAGAAGGGTCTGCAACTGTCACTCAGGACAGGACAGTGCTCTGGTGGAGGGAACACAAGATGGTCGAGTTGAATCAGTGCTTCAGTCGATATCCTGTCTCCATCTCACGTTCTCCAACATCCTCTGCCTGCTGAGCTGCAGACAGCTTTAACCTTCTTTGGGGCAAAGTCGTACAAACACATACTTTCCAAAGATTATTCCAGTTGTCTTGATCCATATCCCTATCAATGAAAGTATGCTGACCACTTTATTTCCAACACATACCAATAATGTCGATTTAAATAAATACCTATAAAGATATGCATGTGTTGTGTGTAAATCTGTTATCTATACATCACGGTGTTCCCCAAAGTGAAAACTTTTCAGAGGTGACATTGAAACAAAAATGAATAGAAGTGTTAACAATATTTCCCCTGGCCCTCGTGGCCCGTTGCACACACTCCCCTCTTCAGAGAACACTTGCTCCATCAAAGTCTTTGAACTGAAGTCACAAACTGGCAGCCTGCAGGCCAGACGCAGCCCACAGATGTGTTTTGCTTGGCCTAAACAATGTTTTCTAAATTTTCTATTAGTTCCTAACACTTAAAATTTGGACAAGTTCATATAAAAATCTAGAAGTTTTTCTGGGTTTTATTCACAGCTTTATTCCCAGTGTCTGATGTCTAATGGGCATTCAATAAGTATTTGTTTAATTGAATTTCCAGCTTCTCTAAAAAATAAAAAAAAAGAAATTTTTAAAAAGCACTGGCATTTGTCCCTGGCTGTGACCACCTGGAGCTAGGCAGTCATCACTCCTGTTAGCAGAGTGTTGATCAGCAGTCTCAAGCCACAGTCCCCACCACTCCCCCCTGTCCTACATCCAGCTTCATCCATGACTGTTACCTGTCTGGCACCTGTCATACTTGAACGATGGCTCTGTCTTAGGGTTTTCTCACAGTGTGATGGCCCCCATCTGCCTCCAAGGGGTCAAAGCAGAGCAATATTCTGTCTGGACACCCAAGTCACGGGTTTGTGCCTGATTCTGCCAATTACCATGTTTGGGGAATTTGCTCTCTCAGCCAAGTCTCCTAAACCGGAAAACTGGAATCCCAATTCCTTCTGCTTGGGTTGTTTGTTGATCAAAGTAAATAAGATAAGATCCGTGGGCTGCTTTGTAAGTTGTGAAGTTCTATGAAAACGTGAGAGCTTGTCATTTCCACAGCTTCATCTGTCCTCCAAAAGGACTAGTTGAGGGCATGGGGATGGAGACTCCTCACGCCAAGCCCTGGAGCTGACCATATTCCTCCACGTTATCTCTCTCTCTCAATGCACCCCTCCCCCAGGCCTACAACCCACCACTTTGGATTGTTTTATTTAGTGTGTAGACAAAGGGATAGGCTGAAGTGAGGACAAAGCCACAATCCTGAAGCCTGGGCTCAGTCTCTAATAATATTGACTCCTTTGTCCACTCTTGCTCATTTCTGAGTCCTCACATGGAGATTCCCACGCTTCACTCCTGGAGACCAGGGTTGCACCCAGGGTCCCCGCATTCTGGATTCCCAGAGTCAGTCCCGAAACCTCCACCTTTATTTCCTGGAATATAGATCACTCGTAAAATCCTAATAACATCCTTCACCCCTTGGAAATACGCTCAAAAGACCTGTCCTCTTCCACCTTTCCATCAGCAGGGAGACCATTTCTATCAGACACACCCTGCCCCACCTCCTTCTGGACTTTCCATAAATGTTTTGCCAGTTATCGACTGAATTATATAAAGTTACTAGTGTTCAATCACTGGTGACGCAAGAATGGGGACAACTTCATTGAATTCAACTGAATACATCTAATCCAGTGGCCCGGCGTTAGGGTGGTCCATGATCTTCAAAGATTCCTATTGGAAGCCAAAGTCAGTTGTTCTTATGCATTTTTCTTGGTGAGTGAACTGTGGTTCTGGGAAAAATACTTCCTCATCTTAAACCTGCCAGGGGTCTCCTCCTTCCTCTCAGACCTGAGCTACGGTTGCCAGATAATTGCTTCAACTAGAAACCCTAATGAAAAGACACATCTGAATGAAACAGACTTCTGTCTCTTCAGTTTCTCTCCTGCTTCCTAGGGAGAAAAAAAAGAGATAAAATATACACTGTTGGTTTAGGGCTCAAGAAGGAGAAGGGCATTACCATGGGATCTCCCACCTCCCCCCATCTTGGAAGTCTCTCCTCTTACTCTAGCTAGCTCCCTGGGCTTCTCTTTTAAGGGCCCTAATACATTCATGAGGGTTGTTTTTTGGTTTTTGTTTTAAGCCAAATTACCTCCATAATCTCCACCTTAAGGCTTAGATTTTTAACACATGAATTTGGGGAGGGAACCGAACATTTAGACCATTGCATAGCTGAAATCTTATGGTGTTAAATCTTGCTTTCACTCGTGGGCTCCTTTTAAAAGGCAAATTCTCTGCATATTAAATGCTTCTGAAATGGTTCCTGGGAAAGCTAGAGAATGCTGTTCCAAGAGATATTCTTGGGTGTTCATGAAAAAATGAGTTTCTTGGTCAAGTTTGGTCAAGTTCTTTGGTCAAGCCAAAGTTTCCTTTGGCTGCAAGACCATAATCCACAGAGGGAGTTTTGTAGCATGCAGCATCACATTTAAGGTTCAGACTGACCTTGCAATAAAGAACTCCAATTCACTTTGTTTAATCTAGTATTTCCCTAATTTTCTTAACAAAGGAAACCTTTTCTTAATTTTTTAAATAATTTCCTGCTTCTTTATGTCCCACAGAACACACTTCATGAAATCCTGATGTAATCCTTGGGGGAAAGCTGAGGAGTTGAACCCTTTCCCTTCCTCTTGGGTATGTAGAGAAAGAAAGACCAGTGGAGTATGCCAGACCTCCCATCCATCACCAGCAGCCCCACATCCTGTCCTGGAGAGGAGCATCAATGACGCAGGCTTGCAAATGACTTTTCTGCTCCATCCAGGACACGTGCAATGTCTACAAAGAGCAAGGGATTCCAAATGTCTGCTCCGGCCTATCATTCTTCATCTATCTGAGTAGCCCAACATGAGCCTACAACAGATACAATTAAGCCAAGGAGATCCAAGGACCCTGCCCAAAAGGGAAGAGAGTGGGAGGCCAAGTATGATATGTTCTCTCTAGTCCCATTGCCCAGTTTTGATCAGGCACACCCTGATCTCTCAACTCATGCACAAGAGTTTTAACCTAGTCCCACCCAGGTGGGAGCCCCTTGAGCACCCACAGACTTGGACTGCCTCCTCCCATGATCAAGTTCTTTATAATTCATCTGGATCCCACAGTTTAACATTTAAATGATTTCTACTTTTGATTATTTTGTTTCATCTGTAGAATTTATCTTCCCACCTAGAATGTAAAATCCAGGAAGCTTGAGGCCACATCTCAACATTTTTCTATTTCTCCCTGCAGGATCCCAGTTCTCTGGGGTAGATACAGTGTGACATTGTATTGAATAAAAATCGTTTTTGCTCCCACTCACCCCAGAAAAAAAGATAAAATGGGAAAGCTCTTTTAATGCACCACCTCTGTTTGACTCACGGAATCAACCAACACCCCCCACTTCCACGAAGAAACTCACTGGAGAAGCCCCAAGGCAGATGGTGCTCCCTGCACTCACTGGGCCACTCTCTGGCACCTTTGGCCATTCTGTTCTGACTAACTGAAATGTTTGCATGTGGAAAGGCAGTTGTGTTCCCAAATTCACCCATAACAATTGGCTGTGCTATTGAATGGGGCTATGGGGGATGAGAAAGAGACAAACAGACATACAGAGAGAGAAGAAGGTGGGGCCAGGTGGGACAGCCAACCCCTGATGGGGGAAGACTGACCCAGAGATAGCTCAGCCCAATTATTGCATAGGTTTTTATCAGAAAAGTTATTTGTGGGAACGTTTCAGCAAAGCAGGCAGTCTGAAGGACACAGGACTGGCAAGGCGTTAGGGTCAACTTGTTTTGCTCTCTATCCCTGAGAGTGTCTGAACTCAAGTCCTTGCCTGATAACTCTGGCCTTTAAGCAGAGTTTCCTCAGGCTAGGGTCACCATAGCAACTGGGCCATCTCCACCTGCACTTTTGACCAGGCAGCTCCCAGCATTAACACAGCCACGAGAAAGTCAGAGGCCATGATTCACCACTCTCCCCAACGGAAGTTACATGCTTTAAGACGAAGCCACTAGGACAGACGCACATTTCCCAATAGACTATTTTCCACTTCCCTCCAGGCCCATATTCTCACCATGCTCCATCCCGCTGTGTGCTCCAGGAGTTGTTCTGTGCAGACTGCATCAGTCTGGCTTCCTTGTCCTCTGGCTTGTAGTTGGATCCAACTACCAGCGAGAGGTGGCAGGTGGAAGGAAAGGAATTTGGACTATTGATTCCTCTGCCTCTCCCTCCTTGCAGGTCTTCAGCTTGACAGTGACTAAGTTCTTCTGCCCCAAATCCTAACAATCAGGCAGCTTCTCAACATTCCCCCTAGGGATGACAGCAGCTAGGAACCACTGAAAGTGGCTAGTTGCTGAGAGCTTTATCTCTCCTTGCAGTTCCCTAAACCATGTCCACACTTCATGGTTCCTTGGTTAAACTCTTTTCAACCATTCTTTCTGAATGTGTTACGTCTTTCCTACACCCAGGATCCTGACTGAGCCACCTACCCATAAATGTTCTTCCCTCCCTTCTTTCCTAGAAGCCCATTTTGTCCTGATATCAGGATTCCAGGTGCTTTAGGGAGCAGGTCCCCCTTGAGGGTGTGAAGGAGCAAGATTTAAAGAGAGATTATGTAACCTGAATCCCACAGCAGCAAAGTGGCAATACTAGGAATCTGTCTAGGCCTGGGTTACCCCAAGAAAGAAGAGCCCAGATAAACAGTAGGTGTTAGTATGTTATTCAGGAATGTGGTCCCAGGGATCAGGAGGAAGGAGCAGAGAAGTTAAAACAGTAAAGAGAGGAGAGCCACTAGGAAGAGGTGTTATCAAATTGGTCCTTGTTAAGACAATGCCATGATGGATCCTGGTGTCCATCAACAAAGGAATGGATGAAGAAAATGCAGTGTATATGTACACACAATGGAATTTCAATCCATCATAAAGAGGAATCAAATCATATCACTTACAGGAAAATGAGTGAAACTGGAAAATATATTCAGCAAAATAAACTGGACTCGGAGAGTCAAGGGTCATATGTTTTCTCTCATATGCGAAACTATAGAGAAATAAAATTTTAAAAATATACTTCGTGGAAATAATACGAAGAACAGTATGGAAGAGGAAGGGGACCACTGGGAGGGACGAAGGAGGGAGAGGAAAGGCACTAAGGATTGAAATTGTTTGAATCAGGTTACACGCATGTGTGACTAGATCACAGTGAACTCCACGAATAGATTCACTGTGATATATTCATAATGCACCAATGGAAAGGAATTTAGAAGACCTTAATAATTACGTATCAGGGAAGATTGCCCATCTGAGCGAAGACGACAGAGGGGCGTGTAACCATCACCCCCAGCTGCCCAGTGGTCAGGAGTCCCCCACACCTCCCTGGGTGTTCACTGTGCTTGCATTTACAGGTGCCTATGCAGGAGGGCCTAGTGGTTTCCCATGGCTACCCCACCCTGTGCCAGCAGCAAAGCCCAGGACAGGTGACAAAAGGCACACTCTAGGAGTGGGAGCTGGGCACCAGTGGGTTACATCTTTGAGAAATTTGTAAAGCGTCTGTGAGGGTGGCCACACAGCTGGAAGAAAAGAGCCCAAGAGGACATAAAGTGATACTCAAGAAGTGACCAATTCAGGTCACGCCCTTGACCACTCAGATCCACTCGTTTCTCCCTGCCTTTAGTCCAATCTATTAGAGAGTCCCTTTAGGGTGCTGATAAGCACTATCTCCACAAAGTTAATGCAAGAGCGGAGCCAGCTAGGGTGCCCATAGCTGAAGCTTTCCTGAAGCCATAATTAATGGTCATCATCCCCTCCGCCACCTCCCTGTACGGTCAACACTTTGGTTGATCCGAGTTGCTTTCTAGGTGGGACATCACCAAGACTCCAACGAGGGCCCGAGTCTTTGGTTGCCTTGTCCTCTTTAGACCATGTATGGTCAAATTACTCACCATCAAAATTACTGGTCAAGGAAGCACAAAGAGAGATTTTCAATGAGATCCAAATATAGTTCTCTCTGCCTTATATTTTATAGAAGTCTATACTTCTTAATATTAATTAGGGTCAATTACCCCAGTAGTAAATAACTCCTGTCTTTACTTGCTAGTTCTCTGGCATGAGGAACCAAAAAGGACCTAATAGTGATGGCAATAGTGGAGTCCCCAAGGTACAGCACCCTTATTGTCTACCTTAGAGAGGTGCTTTGGTGTGTTGGTTTTCAATTACTATAACAAAATGCTTGAGAAAATAAATTTAAAAAGAGGAAAGGTTTATTTTAACTCATAGCTTTGTAGGTTGAGATCTATGACAGTTGGTTCAGTGCCTTTAGGCCTGTGGCAAGCCAGTACATTATGGGAGGAGTACATGGTAAAGGAAGATGCCCACCTCATAGTGGCCAGGAAGTGAAAGAGACACAGGAAGAGCCAAGGCTCCCAATATCCCGATTCTAGGGCACATCCCTTAATGACCTAACTTCCTTCTACTAGAACCCACCTACCAAATGTTCCATTACTACCCAATAGCACCATGGACGAAGGAGTAAGTCTTCAACACATGGGCCCTTAAGGGACATTCAAGTTCCAAACTGTAACATTTGATGTGCTCCAAACCAGTGAAAATCTGAAAAGCTCTACAAAGATTCAAAGATCTGAGTATGTCATCTCCCACTTTCTGGCAGGCATATATAACCGTAGGGCCACTTCCTGCTAACAGATTCAATTAACATGATTTCTTCAATCTTATGAGCAGAGAACAGAAGAGGTTGTTCTAAAAGATTAAATCCCATCACAGAGAAAGCACCTGACCTATGCACGCTTTCTTCCTCCTCCTCCTCTCATTTTTTTTTCTGTTCTCCATAATATAAGTGCATTCTTAAAGGTTATGGTATGCCTTCCTCAAGAATCTGGTCTAATGAATTTGTTCAGGCCTCCCTTCTCAGGAGACCTCTCCGAGGATCTGTTCCCTGGAACAGGGAACAACCATATTCATGACTGTGAGCTCTTCAGACTCAGGCAGTTCCTTCCTAGCCCAAGTCTGTGGAATCAAACTCAGTTCCTGGAATTGTGTTGATCCACGAAGGCTCTTAGCAATTCCCAGGAGGCATTGCTGCCGTTGGCCAAATTGCCTGGCCCTGGCGCGAGAAAGGAAGAGCAAGAACCCCACCATGATTTTTCACGGGGTCACTCTTCCCTAAGGGTTGCCTTCCTTGGTTTGTGTGGAACCCTCTGGAGTTCCCTGGATTCCTGTGTACAAATCGTAGCCCAGAAGAGCAGCAGCAGGTGGACAGCCACCACCCTAGAGGCAGAGACACGCCAGAGACATATGGAGATATTTGTACAATATCCCAGCTGACCTTCATCCATCTTCTCCCCGTGTTACTTATCTTGACATTTTCCATGCACCTGCTGTGTGTTGAGCGCTGTGCTTTTATATAGATTAGCTCATTTCACGGGGAGCAGAAATTCCAAATTATCCCTGGGCTCCAAGTAATGAGAGAGAGTCTTGGGTAGGTCTCTGGCCTGTTCCCAGGCTGTTGAGTGAGTGGGTACTCTCTGATCTCTGGTTCTTCCAGTCCAAATTTGCTGAAATTCTACGCAGCTCTGAGATCTGGTTTCTTCTTCCAACAGAAGCCCCTGTGTAGTCTCCAAGCCTCTCCCAGCTTGAGCTTTCCCCAGAGTGGAGCCCAAGCCAAGGACTTGAGTGCAAGTCCTTAGTTTTTGAAGTGAACCCAGGAAATGTGAGTGGGAAAATGGGAAAGAGGGAGGGAGGGAGGGAGAGAGAAATGGGGGGAAGCAAAAAGGATAACACAAGGGTGCATTATGAGCTGGTCACCTCTTCAGGAAATGGAGGCTCAAACTCACTAGAGTCCTCTGAAGAGCCATATAGAATGTATCTCGTAATAGTCTCCTGGAAGCATGCAGAGAAAGGAATATTTATCCACTGGCTCTGTTTTCTGATAAGGGCTATAAGAAAATACCTGAGACAGGCTGACTTTATCAAGAAAAGGTGTTTATTTAGCTAACATCTCTGGAGGTTCTAGGTATGGCACTGATATCAGCTCTGCTCCAGTGAAGTCACCTGGTGGCATGGCATCACAATGGTGGGAGTATATTCAGGAGCCAGAAGTCCTGTTTCAAAACCAGAATCCAGGGGACTCCATTTGTGACTCAGCGGAAGAGAGCTCGCCTAGCACATGGTAGGCACTGAGTTTGATCCTCAGCACCAAATAAAAATGAATAAATAAAATAAAGGTATTGTGTCCACCTACAACTAAAAAAAAAAAAATTTAAACTGGAATCCAGAGAGCAATTCAAGTGTTAGCTCTCAAAAGAACTAACTC